TACAGAACAATATTTTTAAGAAAAAAGTAGTTTATGCATTCAAAATATAAAAACAAATCATGTTTGTTTACATTTTTATTTATTTCAAATTTCGATGAGCAATTTGCCTTTTGGAGTTTTGTAAAAACGGTGTAGTTTTGAAACATGAATTTTTTCAGGTCCTGATCATAACGTTGAACCATTTTGACAGATATTTTTATCTTTCCAATATTTGTCATTGTAATTCATTAAATTAGAATATTTACAGACGTTGCATGTGTCTTCTCGATAAGATTTCATTCACGATCCTGTACCAGATCTTTCACGACCCAATCGCAATACTTGACCACCGTTACTTATTATTTCACTATCATTTATCTCGATATCACGAATGACAGCCGTGAAAAATAATTCTTATCAGAATCAATGTTACAATTAATAAAATAGACCTTAATTTACATAAATATATAACCAATGCTTCGGTACTGTCATCATTTCAATGGTCAATTTTTATTGAAGAGTTTCAGTTTATGAACGATCTTAACCATTTAAAAGTGCCTGTCCCAAGTTAAAAGCTTGTAATTCAGTTGGTTGCTGTCTAATATATTTGATTTTCGTTAATGCTTTTGTCATAAATCAGGTCGTTGTTTTTTTCGTTTGAATTGTTCCAAATTTTGTCATGCCGGGACCTTTTACAACTGACTATAAGGTATTGGATTTTGCTCATTGTTGAAGATCGCCCGGTTACTCTGTTAGAGAGTTATCTAATTGGCAATCATACCACATCTCCTTTTTTTAGCATGTACAAATTGTACAAAACTAAGCTAGCAACTGCCTAAATTAGATTTGACCTTTGAATTTCCTGTATTAAGACTCCACATAGTAGCTCTTATTTGTATTTCCCATTAAAATTTTATGTGTGTTAGAATAACTAAGTATTTGGTAACCAGGAAGTTGACGAGCGATGAATCAGAAAACGCTTCACACTGTAAAGCATAACCACATTAAGTGTGATAACAAATTTAAGGAGGCTCTTATTTGTAGTTCGTATTTATAACTGTTATTTTCACGAAATTCCAAAGCCTGTAATGTCGGCACAAATTAGCGGAGCAGAACCATAGTAAACTTAATCTGTAACTCATCATAGTGGACTCACATACTAAAATCAGTTCAATATGTGAAGTCGTTTAGAAAAAAGTCTGTATATCTGTTATTTTCACGATATTTTCAGTCCAAAGCCAACACTTTCAGCAAAAATCAGCGGAGCGGAACCAACGTAAAAAGTAAAACACTGAACTCCAAGGGAAATTCAAAACGGAAAGTCCTTTATCAAATGGCAAAATCAAAAGCTCAAACACATCAATGAATGGAAAACAACTGTCATATTCCTGACTTGGTAGAGGCATTTCCTAAAGCCTGTTATTTCGGCACAAATCAGCGGAGCAGAATCATAGTAAACTCGATCTGTAACTCATCATAGTAGACTCACATACTAAAAATCAGCTCAATATGTGAAGGCGTTTAGAAACAAAATCCGTACTATCGTCATTTTCACAAAATTTTCAAAGTCCAATGCCCGTTATTTCGGCAAAAATCAGCGGAGGCGAACCAAACATAAACTCGATCTGTAACTCATCATAGTAGACTCACATACTAAAAATTAGCTAAATATGAGAAGGCGTTACGAAAAAAAGTCTGAATAACTGCTCGTTGCGGAATGACGGATAAGGGTAAAACTATATGATCCCCACCTCTTTGCGGCGGAACCATAAACATCAGTAATATCTGATTTGTAGTTCCTTAGGAAAATGCGACGAAATCTGATGGGACGGGTGTAAATACGAACAGAAAAAGGTAAAACAGTATATCCATTCCTTCGTAGCGGTCGATGATAAGGTATATATTCCAGATAACCCTTTCATTTAGAATAAAAATCAATCTGACACGTCAACCACTCTCTCAAATGGACAGCGTATACATGTGTTATAATAAAATCTGTGTCTTTGGCATTCATTGTAATTTTGAGTTGACAAATGCAATAACACTAATTTTGTGGATTGACGTCATGGAAAGTCATCTCATTCAAAGATGTAACTCTTATTTGACTAGATATTTGTTTATAAAAAAGAATACACTAATAAAAATCAATACGAGTTTACGTAGAATACTTTAAGAGCATAAGAAACGGTATTTATTGGAGATGTGTGAGGTGTTAAATTGTGGTCAACATTCTCATGTATCTAATTTATTTCTAAAAGATATAATCTTGACTTAAAGAAATATTATTCTTCTCCACTCTAACGTACATGATTTAATTAGAAATTCATTAAGATATAATCTTGACTTGAAGAAATATTATTCTTCTCCTACTGTAACGAACATGATTTAATTAGAAATTCATTATTCTTTAACAAATGTTTTTATCTAATATCTCACGACAAAATCTTAACAAATGAAAATGCTAATGGTCAGTTTGCCTTCAAGCACTTGTTACTGGATATCTGCCCTTAAAAGGGCAAAACTTAAATCTTTGAATCAGTAAATCTTTCTTATATGTAAAGGTAAGAAGTAGTTTTTTTTTCTGTTCAAAGAATTAAACTAAATATACTTTGTAAAATCATAGTGTGCTTTAATTTGGTTGTAAAAAGTATGAAATATGTCAAGCTCAGATGTCAAGGAAAGCTGATTAACTTATAAGAGATTTTTTCTCTCAAGAATTGAAAGATTCTAGAATAAAAATAATTTACTTAAGTAACGATATTTACTTGGCAATAATTCTTACATGATTTGCATATCTGCAAATAATTGAATGTGATTTGTCCATTAGAACTGGTTTCCATGGTTTATATTTAGATAGAACATGCTGCTGAAACTATTTTAGTAACCTATTCATGTATAGTGTCGAGTTCACCGTCCTATATTTATGCGCAATACACATGAATGGAATCCTGGAATCAAGAAAGATGAATATGAAAAAATATATAATATAGGTATATAATGGTGTGTAAACTGGGCCGCTCACCCACAAAATTTGCTTAAAAACCCTGTTGGTTAGCGCCAATAAGATAGCAACGACAAAAATAATCAGAAGATATCTACAGTTCAACGTACGGTATTCAATGATAGACAAGTGTTTGTACAATATTTCTAGCTCAAAATAGCATGAAGTAAAAAAAAAAAAAATAATCAAGAGATCATCAAAAATGTTTATTGAATGTATATATCTCAATAGTCATAAGACGGTAGCATGATTTTGTTGATAAAACTTTAAAAAGGATATGAATGAAAAGGGAAGTTATCTAAACAACATAACCATCAATGTATTTCGCCATAAAAAAGATGTTTTATCTACAGCCTCTTTTAAAATCTAAAACAGGTAATGTTTTATGATTGATTGGTTGTTGCTTGATTAATGTCCAGTGGCAAACATTTCACGCATAATTGGTACTGAAAAATTAGGTTGTGTTGGATAGGGAGACATTTTGCATTGCAACAGACCAACTACGGACATCTCGAAGAGTTTGAGACAACTATATACCAGAGTCTAAATGTACAAGCAACTTAATATATGTCACTGTAGGGCCTTCAACAAAGGGAAACCCCAATACCGTATGGCAGCAATGAAAGGCTCCGACATGACAAATTGCCTTTTTTCCATTTTTTTTGCACATGTAATTGAAATAAAAGTATCTGAAAAAATGGGAAAAGTGAAGGATCGGTTTCAAAAAGAATTGAAAACTGTTGCATAAAAATATTCTTAAAAGTCCTTATTGAGATTCGACCAATGGTTTAGCAGTGGTTACACATACAATATTGGTACGCCTTTTTGTAGATAAGGTAAAGTTCGTGTTCGGTATATACAAACAGAAGAGTCATTTGAAACAAAATATATAAATAGGGCACAATCCCATTAATGGTTAAAGATTCTTTTTAATTTTCACTGCCATCTAATATTAAATGGATTTGTGAATACAAAATACAAATTGACGAACTGACTAACGTACACGACAGTCACTGTTTATTATCCACTGAACTAAGATCTACTTGAAATAAATGTAGAACAAAAATTAAATGTAATCTTTATGGAACTGTGATATAGATTCTGGGCTGGTGTAACGATTTATAATTGAATATTAAAAAAAAATGCAATTCTGATTGAAAATATATTCACGATACAAAATATTTGTAAAGTTTCTCATCTGACAAAATGGTAAAAACAGATCAAAGTAAACACGTCTCCAATTTATTTTAAAGTGGTTATAAGTCTTTTTGAATTTTGAGATTTTAGACAAAAAGTGAAAATTTCAAAAAGTGAAAACAGGTTTAATATTTTGAAATTTTGACATAATTAAAAATGATTATAAACAACATTCCAAAATCTGATTTGAGAAAGAATTTGAGTTGAAGTTCGAGAAAAGAGTCCGAGTTTAGAGTTTTTTGTGTGGGTTAAAATGAAGGTAGAATTTGGATTCCGTAGCTTTAAAAAAAGAAACGACACATAGATTGCTCTTTATAAAAAAGCTATAAATGTTGTGTAGATTGGAAGTTGAATGGTTGTTTATTTTGATGAAAATCCACAATCATTTACAAAAGATTTGAATTTTGTTGAATATATAAAAAAAAACTATAGTTAACAAACGAATTTGAACAAGTTCCTTAAAGGCAAAATGTACACATGTATATACAGCTAAATCCTAAATCATGATGACAAACGGATGTAGAACAAACCCGAATTCGAACACATTATCAATACCTCATACATTTCTCGGTCTCTCTATACTTTCTTCTGAGACCAGAATTACCGGTTGTAGATCTAATCACTATACATGTTAAACATGATAACAGATATAATATATCTGTCATATCAATGTTCGTTTATTCGTTTCTTTGTTGTATATGTATAATTAACAATCAATTAATATATAATTAACTTGTGTAAACATGAATTACTTATACTTACTTCATTCAATATCGGACAAAAAAAAGCTTTTAAATAAATAAGACGTTTATTTCTTCTTCAGATGGTCACAAAATGGAATCCTCATTTTTTTATTTTGGCAGTGTTGTTATTTGGTAAGTGAAATGTTTATGTTATATTGAAGTAATTGGTTTTTTTTATATCTTTTTGAGTATACTTTCGCATTAAACTAATCACACTATATATACAGCAAATGTGTTGTAAAACTGACTATTAATTTGTTCAATTACAATAAAAATGTCCATTGTCCTGTTTTAATAAAACCATCCTTCTCATAAATGTTCAGTTTTATATGATCTATTTAAAAAAGAGTGAACTTTTATTCGAATTATTATTAATAAATGATAGTGTGTTCTTATAATGAACACGATGCACATGTATTGTATATTTATTGTATATTATAATTTGTTATATGACGTAACATCTGTTTTGGATTTAAGGATAAATTGTCAGCCTGGTTTCTGCAAGTTATTGTAAAATATTATTCTCAGCTGTTTCCAACAATAAAAAAAACTGTATTTTGGCCTACCATTGTTAAGATCTATAAGCGCTATTAGCCAAGTCATAATGAAAATAGAAATTAAGGAATAAACTACACAAGATATGTCACTGAAACAAAAGTCATAAGAATTTAAGGTTATTTTTTTTAAATATTTTGGCCTTTAAGGAATTCGATGTTGAATGCAGGTCGCTGAAATCTATTTACAACTTTTCTTGATTTGGGACGATCGAGATCTTGACTTATTGTACATACACATCATTCTGTCTATTGGTGGGACGATTAAGATCTTGACTCACATTGTACATACACATCATTCTGTCTATTGTTGGGACGATTAAGATCTTGACTCACATTGTACATACACATCATTCTGTCTATTGTTGGGACGATTAAGATCTTGACTCACATTGTACATACACATCATTCTGTCTATTGTTGGGACGATTAAGATCTTGACTCACATTGTACATACACATCATTCTGTCTATTGTTGGGACGATTAAGATCTTGACTCACATTGTACATACACATCATTCTGTCTATTGGTGGGACGATTAAGATCTTGACTCACATTGTACATACACATCATTCTGTCTATTGGTGGGACGATTAAGATCTTGACTCACATTGTACATACACATCATTCTGTCTATTGTTGGGACGATTAAGATCTTGACTCACATTGTACATACACATCATTCTGTCTATTGTTGGGACGATTAAGATCTTGACTCACATTGTACATACACATCATTCTGTCTATTGTTGGGACGATTAAGATCTTGACTCACATTGTACATACACATCATTCTGTCTATTGGTGGGACGATTAAGATCTTGACTCACATTGTACATACACATCATTCTGTCTATTGGTGGGACGATTAAGATCTTGACTCACATTGTACATACACATCATTCTGTCTATTGGTGGGACGATTAAGATCTTGACTCACATTGTACATACACATCATTCTGTCTATTGGTGGGACGATTAAGATCTTGACTCACATTGTACATACACATCATTCTGTCTATTGTTGGGACGATTAAGATCTTGACTCACATTGTACATACACATCATTCTGTCTATTGTTGGGACGATTAAGATCTTGACTCACATTGTACATACACATCATTCTGTCTATTGGTGGGACGATTAAGATCTTGACTCACATTGTACATACACATCATTCTGTCTATTGGTGGGACGATTAAGATCTTGACTCACATTGTACATACACATCATTCTGTCTATTGGTGGGACGATTAAGATCTTGACTCACATTGTACATACACATCATTCTGTCTATTGTTGTTGAAGACCGTATGTCTCTAAATGTACTTCGGCTTTTTGTGCGGATGGCTTGCTGTTTCATTGACGCATATTCTACATACTCATATTAAAGCAAATATACACGTAATGTTCTTAGTACGTATCTCTTCTCTATGACCACTTTGAAGCTCGATAAGTTGAATATCAAAATGGTACAGAAAAGAATTTAAATAAATTGATCAATAGATAATAATAATTTCTATGATGATAAAAATAATAAAAGACAACCCTAAAATTAAGAAAATGGTAATACTTTATAGTATTTGTAAATGAGACAACTAAACACCGGTGGAAATTTATTACCGCATCCAAGAATGTTCGTAGTTGCTAAAATCATGGTTCGCTACCTAGCAGTGGCAGATCCAGAGGGGGTTCCGGGGGTTAGAACCCCCCTTTTTTGACGATCAATGCTTTTGAATGGGGACATATGGTTGGAACCCCCTTTTAAAAATGGCTGGATCCGCCCATGCCAAGCATATCTTATAAATATATACCTATATATATATAACAACGTCTAGGAAACTCGATAAAACAGAAAAACAGCAAAATCGTCCTGAACATGCATAAACTATTTGCCACTGGTCGTAAAACAAACAACCACAATCAATCAATCAAATCTACACAGCAAAGTCGTCCTGAACATGCATGAAATATTTGTCACTGGGCGTGAAGCAAAGAACAATCAATCAATCAACAGAGCAAAGAAATTACATGAAACATCCAAGCTGTCTTTTATACTGTAAATATATATCACAAATAAAAAAAGACATAATGATTTTAAAACGACAGTTTGCTTTCCCCTTTCATTAATAAGTCTATGATACAAAGATTTCAAATACATTTCTTATACTTTAAAAAAAAAACTGGTTGCGAAATCCTATCAAAAATGTTGCAGAGAACTTCCATGATGCCATATTTATGTGATGACTACGTGTTAACATATTCCATTATGGAATTATGCTTAAACCTACGAAATGTTAAAAAAATCATATTCGAACCATACAGTTATTTGTCCTAAGAATTTTTGTTTTCGGTGTATTTTTTTTATCACGGCCGTTTGAAATGAGGAGCGACTATTTCAATTAAGAACTGAATACTTTTTTTTATGATTTTATTGTGGTGTAAAAGCGTTGACCGAAGTACATTTAGTATTCTCCGCTTTCTACTGAAAATGTGCTCAGGATCAACGTTTTACAATCCTATAAAATTATAAAAAGAAGCATTAAAATCTTATAATTATATTTTTGTGCTGCAACCATGACATTAAGAGTTATATCAAGCTTTTCGTTTGTTTATTGTATGCATTGTTTTAACATTGTCACGGATACCACATGCAGTCATAGCTGTTGTATTTTATACGGAAATAAAATAGGATGTTGGAGTGCCTGTTTTAAAGACCTTTTGTGATCTCTGGTTTTGTCGGATTAATACACACCTTCAAACATTTGAAGGCTGATATTTCATTGGCTGATGTAATAATTACAAGAGCAGAGAGTAAAACGGAGTGTTGTCATATCCTTGTAAGCAAAGCTTGCACACATGATCTGTATATCAATCACATTGCTTCAAAAAGATTCGTTGAAAAAATGTTCGTGATTAATTACGGTATTTGCACACATACATAGGATGATACATTTATAGACGATCTCTATTAGTTATTACAATTGCTAGCTTATTTTTAAGGGAATTGTTTCATAAGATTCATATCTGAATTATGTTTTTGACAGCTTCTGTTGCACAAGGATATAAAAGAGTATGTTACCATACAAACTGGGCCCAGTATAGAACAGCACCATACAAGTTCTTCCCAGACGATATAGACCCTTCCCTATGCACACATATTATCTATTCTTTCGGAAAAGTCGTGGGAAATACCATACAACCTTATGAATGGAATGATGAATCTACAGACTGGTCGGTTGGTAAGTCTAACCCAAAATGTAGGCAGTTGTTGATTGGGAAATGTTGCATGAAGAACAAGAATCTCGAACTATATTTCTATGTTTAGTGAACTGTGAAATTGGGGGATCAAAACGTTGGCATATAATTTTAATAGATATAAGAAGATGTGGTATGAGTGCCAATGAGACAACTTTCCATCCAAGTCACAATCTATAAAAGTAAACCATTATAGGTCACAGTACGGTCTTCAACACGGAGCCTTGGCTCACACCGAACAGTAAGCTATAAAGGGCCCCAAAATTACTAGTTTAAAACTATTCAAACGGGAAAACCAACGGTCTAATCAATATAAAAAACAAGAAACGAGAAACACTTATGAACCACATCAACAAACGACAACCACTGAACATCAGATTCCTGACTTAGGACAGGTGCAAACAAATGCAGCGGGGTTAAACGTTTTAATGGTACCAAACCTTCACCCTTTTTCTGAAACAATAGTGTAACATCACAACATAGAAAGACACACTATAAAATATCAACTGAAATAGCTTAACTCAATCAAATGACATATTAACACCATTGAACATACACTGAACAAATAAATTTGACCTATGATACAATGTAAATACAAAATAAACAAACTAAGGGAAGAATAATAAAAGTAACATGTTATATCGGTATGAAATGTTAAACAATTAAAAAAAAACAATATGATCGAGCAAAAATATCAGCCATTTGTTCACATAACAATGAACATTTGAACTTTGTTCCATATTAACGGGTCCGTAACTTCATGGTAAATGACCTTAATAAAAAACTTGAGAATGCACCTCTTTCACTCTATCACATTTCCATATGAAAGTACGGAGATGTCAGTGGTAATATTGTCAATGAGACAACTATCAACCACAAACCATATGACGTTGATGCTATCAACAATATGTCACCGTATGGCCTTAAACAATGAGAACAAAATGTTCTTTCTAGATCAACTAACCACGGGTGAAATAAATAGAGAATATCATATGGCTTTTTCAATATCACATCCGTATCAACCTGAGACACCAATATAATCACAAGAACTATGCTAGAGATTGTAACATGAATGGTAATTTGTCCTTCAAGATCTTTGAGTGAGTTAACTTCTGCTATTTTAAGAGGAGTGCATTAACTGGGTGATTTTTTTTAGTTATTTCACTTTTCAATACACCGCCGTTGATCGCTTCTCATAGGAAAAGCAAAGAATGGGAGGAGCTTAAACCAGTGCTTTAACTTCCATCTCAGAAGTTGTTATTGTACAATCTGGCGCCGCCTTCTTGGCCTAGTAAACAATGACGTCAATGACCATAAAATTTCCAAATAAATTTCAATAAAATGCATACACAACAAAACTTGAATTCGGGAAAGGGAGTTTGGGGTTAAACCCTTACACTTGTCAAACTTGTAAACCTAGCCCTGAATAAAAAATTGTTTCATAAACTTACTTCAAATGAATGCCTGATGAGAACTACTAAAAGGGATAACGTGGTCTATAAACGAAGGGGCGATATTGATAAATTGGTGGATACTAAAGTATGGCATGGTATTGGTTGCAAAAATTTGATATTTTTCATTTAATTGGTATATTTTTCATTTAATTGGTATATTTTTTCATTTATATGCAATATTTTTTCATTTATATGCAATATTTTTTCATTTAAATGCAATATTTTTTCATTTGTATGGTATATTTTTTCATTTAAATGGTATATTTTTTCATTTGTATGCAATATTTTTTATTTTAATGGTATAATTTTTCATTTATATGGTATATTTTTTCATTTAAATGCAATATTTTTTATTTAAATGGTATAATTTTTCATTCAAATGGTATAATTTTTCATTCAAATGGTATAATTTTCATTCTAATGCAATAGTTTTTATTCAATTGGTATAAAATGTCATTTGAATGCAATATTTTTTATTCAATTGGTATAGTAGTTTTTTATTTATATGCAATAATTGCATTATGGGAAATTCTTTGACGTCATAAGGTCAAATTTGCAACAACGTTTGTGATTGGTCGGAAATTGTTTGGATGTCTCCCCTTTCTTTCTAAACATGGGTGACCAAGAATTAAAAAACGCGTCAGAATATCGCCCCTCTAACTAAATCTAACGTTCGTGCGAGTCCTGCACTGGCTGTTAAAATCTTGTGGTCATAACTAGTATTTCTATTGCAAAATTTCGATGGTCAAAACGTTCGGTCCACTTTTCAAAAACCGTTTCATTGTATATGGATTTATATGCAAGTATATCGGGTTTTTAAATAGATTAGACACCGTTGGTTTTCCCGTTTGAATGGTTTTACACTACTGATTTTTGGGGGCCCTTTATATCTTGCTGTTCGGTTTGAGCCAAGGCTCCGTGTTGAAGACCGTACGTTGACCTTTAATGGTTTACATTTACAAATTATGACTTTGATGGAGAGTTGTCTCATCGGCACTCATACCACATCTTCTTATATGTATATTCAACGTAAACCAGACGTTTCTCAGACTGTTTTCTTTTTTTAATAAATCCTTTGCCGCGCGTTGTGTACTGATTGATAACTCGGTCTGGGAGAACAAGATTTATTTCAGTACCAGTTGTAATTAGGTTTGAGCAAACTTCCAGTAATTGCAAATACTCTTATGTCGGTGCTTTGTGTCTATTGTCTTAATGTTAGTTTTTGTGTGTAACTCCTACCGATCTTTTGAGTAATTTGCTGATTTGTGCAGGTTGTTATTTTATTGTACCGTTACACCACTGTCCCAGCTTCGGGATGGGTTGCTCACAAACATGTTGTTGTACTGTTACACCGCTGTCCCAGATTAGGGGGAGGATTGGGATCCCGCTAACATGTTTAATTAACCCCGCCACATTCTGTATGTATGTGCTTGTCCCAAGTCAGGAGCCTGTAACTCAGTGGTTGCCGTTTGTTGCTTTGTTATACATATTTGTGTTTCGTTCATTTTTTTGTACATTAATTCGGCCGTTAGTTTTCTCGATTGCATTGTTTTACATTTTTGATTTCGGGGCCTATTATAGCTGACTATGCGGTGTAGGCTTTGCTAATTGTCGAAGGCCGTACGGTGACTTATAGCTGTTGATTTCTGTGTCATTTGATCTCTTGTGGAGAGTTGTCTCATCTGCAATCATACCACATCTTCGTTTTTATATCCACCCTGCCATATTCTTTATTTGCCTGTCCCAGGGATGGAGCCTGTAGTTTAATGGTTGTCGTTGGTTCCTGTCTCGACTCATATTTGATATTTTGTAAATTGTTTTGTTATGTATAATTAGGCTGTTAGTTTTTTCGTTTGAATTGTCAGTCACACTTTTAATGTAGGGCCTTTTATAGACGACTTTACAGTATCAGGTTTTTGTCATTGTTGAAGGCCTTACGATTGTCTACAAAAATCATTTGTCTACATGACGGCAAAAAGCTCTACAGAGCTCATGTTTGTAGTATTTCATGTAACCCGAATTAAAATAAATTTTTCTTATCTTATCTTATCTATAATTGCTAACATCCACTTCATATTTGAACTCCGGTGGATAGTTGCCTTATTAGCAATCATATTCCATCTCTTCATTTTTATATTATATACGTGACTTCTAAACTCGTGTTTTCCTGAACAAGCATGAAATAATTTTCACTGGGCGTTAAAATTAGCAACAAACAATCAATCAATTTAAACTTGTGTTAAATTAGAGGAAACCCATTTGATATTTATTTATTTGTTGGGTCGGGGGACAGAAGGATTTCATATATGAATATGATTGCCTGGTAAGAGCTGAAAAATAGGCATGATTAGCGACAGATTGAAATGAATAATAATGCCCCCTCTCCCCTTCCCCATCCTTCATCTATAAATTTAAACTGACCACCACGGAATAGCCCAATAGTGTTGAAAGTAGCGTAAAACACCAATCAATCAAAATCCCTTCCCTAGAATATCAAATAATCGTCCCTTAACTGTTATTGTCCGTGTAGTTCTTATATTTATCCAGCTTATCGTCCTACAGGGATGTCCTACTAAGGCTGTCATACCATAAAACGTTTATAAAACAGCTCACATTCTAATATATCTGCATTCATAAATTTATTAATTTCATTTAGACTAAACGACGCCATGTTTGTTATGTGCCTCTGCCGTCAACCTATCAAAAAAGAAGAGGTGGAAGAGAGCCAGAAGATCTTCCCAATGCATAAAAAAAAAAACAGAAATGGACTTCTTCTGGCTCACTTCCGAAGAACAAAAAAAAAAAACGCGTCCCATTGATATGTTTTAAAAACGCCTTGCCCCTGCCTTTTTTCCAAAAAAATGGCATTATTAAATATATAAACATCTATATAATCATCAAAATTAAAATGCTATTGTATTTTTATAAGACCTACTGTATTACATGACCTGGGACTAATGACATCTATCTATAAGTCCTAGCATACATTAATTATTATAATATGAATATGTTTCTTGTTTTAATAACCACATATGATGCTATGCATGAGTCACCATTTATCAGGACATGAATTTGGTTTACATAGAGAGGATAAGGGACGACATCAGAAAATCAATGAAGGATAAAAAACTTAATTCAAATAGTTGGGGGGGGGGGGGGGTCAAAATTGCTGCAAGTTTTGTTTAATTAACATCGATTTTATATATATCCTTATTGGTCAATCAATTTTTCCCAAATTAAGAAATTAAATTAAGAGGGGGGGTAGGGGGTCAGTGAAAAAAACTATATGAATTATTTTTTTTTTTTATCCTACATTTAACTTTTGATGTCGTCCCTAATGTGCAAAAAAATAGATAAGGGGCGGGACCAAACCTATAGAAAACATAATAAAGAAATGATGAAATATACAGAATACGTTGATTGACTTTTGGTTGCCTTATGTCCAGTGGCAAATATGTCACGCATGTTTAGAACAAATATAATAGAGATCAAAGGATAAAGAATAGAGTGAAATGGTAAAAACTAAAAGATATAGAATTATAGAAACGAGGCGAGAACAGTAAAAAAAAGCTCAGCAACGAATCATAAATGTAAAATGATTTGCAGCATATGACATGAGAGCACATATCATAGATAGTATTAAATATGAAGTTCACGCCTCATATAGTGAAGTCCTATGTCATAGGACTATTGTTGTAACATGGGTTAGTAACTGGTTCCAATTTATCCTGAATTGTCTTTATTAAAGAATTAGTTCCGGAGTATAACAGCTTATGTCTCTACTTGTGGGTTTCTAGTTCTGCTGTCGTAATTAGGTAATTTTTTTTCTACATGTAGTAAAAAAGAGGGGGCTTAGTCCAAATAATTGTAACGTCCTGGATGCTTTTTATTCTTTTTTCATGTGCCTTCCTGCAACGTCTCTGAGGATCAAGAAAAGTAAAAAATGATATAGCACTAAAGAACGTCATGATTACATGTATCTGGACTTAGAAGGGGGAGGGGGGCTAGCTATGTATTTTTTTTTATTTCAATGTGTAGACTGTAGGAGAGTCTCAGAAAAGGTTTTCATTGGAGGTGTTTTTGCCATGCACGCAGGCATCTGTTTCAGCGCTATCCATGAACAAGTTGTGTGTCAAATTAATTATTATTACTTGTCACTCGCATTTTTTGCTCGTCCTGGCCATTATTGGCATTAACAGCCAGTGCAGGACTCGCACGAACGTTAGATTTAGTTAGAGGGGCGATATTCTGACGCGTTTTTTAATTCTTGGTCACCCATGTTTAGAAAGAAAGGGGAGACATCCAAACAATTTCCGACCAATCACAAACGTTGTTGCAAATTTGACCTTGTGACGTCAAAGAATTTCCCATAATGCAATTATTGCATATAAATAAAAAAACTACTATACCAATTGAATAAAAAATATTGCATTCAAATGACATTTTATACCAATTGAATAAAAACTATTGCATTTGAATGAAAATTATACCATATGAATGAAAAATTATACCATTTGAATGAAAAATTATACCATTTGAATAAAAAATATTGCATTTAAATGAAAAAATATACCATATAAATGAAAAATTATACCATTAAAATAAAAAATATTGCATATAAATGAAAAAATATACCATTTAAATGAAAAAATATACCATACAAATGAAAAAATATTGCATATAAATGAAAAAATATTGCATATAAATGAAAAAATATTGCATATAAATGAAAAAATATACCAATTAAATGAAAAATATTGCATTTAAATGAAAAATATCAAATTTTTGCAACCAATACCATGCCATACTAAAGGTAGTTTGTTTTTATCGTGTCAAAATAAATATTCGGCCAATAAGATGTCATTTGATGTTCAGTCGTTTCATTTCCATTTCATTTTTAAAAGGTATATGTCCGTGAATTGAGCATGCTCAAAATATTTGTCCCTTGACATCACGCAATCATCAATCCATCAATTAATCGATCTTTTTCCTAATGTTGGGAAAGGAAGATTACCTTCGCAAAAAGTTTAAAAAACGTATCCTTCTTATCACAACTTTTAACTCTTACAAAACTACACGTCCTATTGGTTTTAAAAGCAGGCAACATGGTATACATCGAACAAGATTTTGCATCTATCCCTTCAAGATTTTTCGTAGGAAACACATAAATCAATCTCTTTTCTTTAAACAAATCACTTACATGTGCATGTATCATAAAATCAAATTTTACTTAACAATCTGATCCATGAGTTCATTTTCTGAAAATAAGAGACGTTTTGACATAGAAAGCGCCACTATTCGATTGACGATATTGTATTCATGAAAAGTACAGGGTTGCGTTCAATATCGTAGCGGCTACGTAGTGCTACGTAGATTTATGACTATTGAACGAGTAGCTAGCCTAGCTGCTATCAATATCTATGTAGCAGCTAGGCTAGCTACACGTTCAATAGTCATAAATCTACGTAGCCCTATGTAGCCGCTACGATATTGAACGCAACCCTGTTAAACTTAACCTTTGGCGTGTGTCATCGCCCATTGATGTTACAAATCATATATAGCCACGCCTTACTCATTAACATATTTAATCCAATCAAAGCTACGCTTTTCGTGAATTAAATACGTTAATTCGTAAAAGGCGTGCTATATATATAACATGTTATAAATTTAATAATAAGGAGTTTTTATTATATACTTAAAATATTGTTTACAATGTTATATAGTTCCATTCAAAAAAAGTTATTCAGTGCTACATGTTGCTGTTGAAGGCGTTTGCATACAAAATTGCAAATTATACTTGCTTTTGACAAAACTTTTCATCGAACGATATCGCTAACCAAAACGAAATTATTTGTATTGGAATTAAAGATATCCTTCTGGTACATTTTTGGGATGAATACTCAAAATTTGATAAAATCTCTCAATTTGATGACATGTTTAGTATTAAGCCATAAGATTGTTATTAGAATTATACTGTGATACTATTATTTGGAATACAGATTGACAGACTTTTAGAAATTGGGTGTGAAAAAAGTTAGGGCATTACATTTGCGCGCGTTTGGGAATTACAAAATTTACGTTTGCGCGCAGCTTTTGATTACAGTTGCGTGCATTCATTATACAGAAAACAAAGGTATAAATAAAGAAAATTCATAACAAAATATTTCGATAATCATTGATTTTGAACATATTTGTAATATTTCAGAGTGAATAGTATTCGCTGTAGTATTATCAGTTTGTAAAGTTGTGTCAAGGCACAAACGTGGAGTTTTATTTGTCAGAAACAAATTGCGTTTGAAAATCATTAGAGTAAGATGGATTTAGTTTCAAAGGGAACTAAAACTAACGAAAGGGGTACATGTAAATAGTTCAATAAATAAATTGTAGTTAAATAAAGAAAGAAAAAAAAAGTATAATCTACCGGTATTTACCCGAGTTAACCTGTAAAATGAATGCGCGCAAATGTAATGATAATGCGAGCAAATTTAATGCATCAAGAATAAATTGGCTCTACCTCTTTTAATTTGTTCAGTAAGTCGATATCAAAATCCAAAATATTAACTATTAAATAATCATCAGGTAAATATGAAGAGACCGCCAACCTGAAGATGAAGAATCCTGACTTGAAGATATTACTAGCCATTGGAGGATGGACTCATGGCTCTGCACCGTTTACAGCCCTAGTAGACAATACTAAAGACATGGAAACATTTGCGGCTAAAGCCATTGATTACCTGAGGGAAATTAACTTTGATGGTCTTGACCTTGACTGGGAGTATCCAGCAAACAGAGGAAGTCCTCCTGAAGATAAACAAAGATTTACACAGCTTTGCAAGGTAAAATTGCTACCTACATTTAATAAAATTGTATTTATCTAGAATTGGTATGAACTGGCAGTATCCTGGTTGCATGCTTGACCCGAATGCAGATATCTTGGATTAATCCCTAGGTGGGTGAAAATGATGGCTTTAAAATGGCCATACGTAACTTTACCTGTGCTCATGTGTTATTTCGGAGTAAACATTAAGACTGATTGACCATAAATAGTCCCGTGTGAGAAGTGATGAGTTCTTACAGGCTATTACCTTGTAATACAGCACTTTAAATCAAACCCAACCTTCTGGTCTAGTACAACACAGGGTTCATAATCATATCTTGTTAACTACCTAATTAGTAATAGTGGTCACAATAATTTTAAGTAGAGAAAGGAAAAAAAAGTCACAATTTATACGGAAATGAAATATCCTAAAATATGTTTTAGTTTTTAGTTCAACCGCGATGTTTTTAATTGAGTTGGCAATGCTTAATCCTTTGTTTTCTTCTGAAGTGTTTTGTAGGCTGTGTTTTTTTCTGAAGTGTTTTGTAGGCTGTTGTTTTTTTTCTGAAGTGTTTTGTAGGCTGTGGTTTTTTTTCTGAAGTGTTTTGTAGGCTGTGGTTTTTGATGAAGTGTTTTGTAGGCTGTGGTTTTTTTTCTGAAGTGTTTTGTAGGCTGTGGTTTTTTTTCTGAAGTGTTTTGTAGGCTGTGGTTTTTAATTGTTGAATTGAAACTTCTTTTAGTAGCGTACTATAAGATCTTTTACGAGAAAACATTACATTGAAATTTTCAGATTTTGAGAAGTGCCTTTGAAGATGAAGCAAAAAAGATTAGTAGGCCTCGTTTACTTCTTACGGCTGCAGTTGCTGCTGGTGAAGGAACAATTGAATCTGCTTATGAAATTGGCCTTATTTCAAAGTAAGTTAATCATTGAAAAAGAACTTGAATGCTGTTCATCATTTTTTTTTTCAATTACCCGTAGTGTCTTTAGATAGGAAATTCATTCTTTCAGCAAGCTCAGCAGTTAATCAAATTTCAATGTACTAGTATTCTAACAAGACGGTGTTGTCAATGATTACAATACTTTTGTTACGCATTATTGTTCAGTTTGTTTGGACTTTGCAATTGGTAAAGCACTGTAGCAAGTGCAATATGCTGAAATTCTATATTATTTATTAGATCCAGATGAACAAGAACAGGTGTCGTATTCACAAAACATGTTTAAAAGGGAAAAGTATTTTTGTTTTTAAATTCTATTATTTAGAGAACTTGACTTTATCAATCTTATGGCGTACGATTTGCATGGAAGTTGGGAAACATTCCTGGGGCATAACAGTCCATTATATGCCAGATCCGACGAATCAACTGAACAGAAAAAGTTAAATCAAGTGAGTTTATTAACCGATTCATAGCCACACATATAAGATGGAGGTTTGTCCTTGGAGATTAGAAAATGTTGTCTTTCTTATTGTAATTTATCTTGATGCTTCAGCTTAACATAGCCGTAATCTTTATCTATTGTATTTCCAGTGGTTGTTAATACGAAAATAAAATTGAATGAATAAAGAAACCACGCATCAGAAAAAAAAAATTAAAGTCAGAACTACGGAGAAAATATGTGTCAATATTTTAGATAAATACCATTTATACAATACTGTATACGTTCACTGACTCAATTACTCTAAAAATCCGTTTGTCTTCGAGAACTCAGTGATTGTTTACAATACGTTTGTGTTATATTTGATCTATGTTAATGTTCTATAATCATCACTTGAAGCAAAAAGGTATAAGAGCATGTCGGGGAACAATTGATACATTTTAGGATTATGCTGTAAATCTTTGGCTTAATGGTGGAACTCCAAAGGAGAAATTAATTCTTGGTTTGGGATTGTATGGTAGGTCGTTTAAGATGGGTTCGTCTTCATATGCTTTAGGAAGCTCAGCAGCTGGAGGTGGTGCAGCAGGAAGATATACCGGGGAGGCGGGATTTCTTTCTTTTTATGAGGTGAGTGATAAAGACTGTTTGGATACTGATTAAAAGGGGCACTATGAAATATGAAAAATAAAATGTAAAATAGTTTACCAACATTTTTAATAGATGCACAGAACAGAATGACCAACAAATGATATTGGTATCTTATGCATTACTACCAGTAGGTAGCTCTAACTATTGGTAAGATTCCCGAGGGTATCACTTGCCTGGTAGCCTATGTTTTTGTACTATCATATCTTTTTTTTCCAATAGATAATAATAATTAAATTAAGAAGAAAAAACACATTTGACAAAACTATTTAAATTTTGTTTTTATCAAAGGTTGCCCTTCCAATGAACACGGGTTAGTTTGGAGGATGTTATTCTCATCAACGTTTTTCACTAATAACTCTTCCGAAGAACCTGTCATTTTACAACATTTAAATGGAATGTGACCTTGATTTTGAATCCTTTTTTGACCTTTGTTTTTTTTTTATTGAAATCTTTGTATCTTCTTATTTTTGGTTTATGACGCCTAGTATTTGGTTTCGAGCACTAAAGCACAAAGTAACTAGAATTTCGTTATACGATGGATCAAACTAATGTTGATATCTTGTACTATGTTGTAGTTTTGGTCATTGTATGTATGTGTATCTACCTGCTTATCCTTCTTTAGCTCATAATGCTACACCACACTTTCAAAGGCGAGTGGTAGATAGTAATGGGGAGTCCATCCGTTCGTCGTGATGTTCCATTTTTGTATCCGTAACTGCTCCTGAACTGCGGGAATATTTTTATGAAAGTTTAACAAATGTTTTTCCTATTTTATTTCTATATCTGAATGATTTTTTGGGGTCGTATGGACATTGACTTCGTCAAATCTACACACTATTCCCCTATTTTAATTGGAAGCTCTTATTTTGTTATATGGTCCAAAGCATTTCTGTGATTTTCCTTTCCAAAGCATGGAACTTGTCATTGCTGTTATTTGGGTGGTATTTATTTTATATCCAAAACTACACGTAAAGACCTTATCATTTATATCAATTAATTGAAATGTTTCCATTATCTTTGGCTATGCGTTTTTTGTCCTTTTTGGTTTATAAGCTCTTCATTTTTTAATACACTGAATTTACAAATACTTTGACCTCGAGCATCACTGAAGAGACATTTGTTGTCGAAATGTGCATCTGGTGCAGAAAAATTGGTATCGTAAATGTTATTTATACCACTGGATCGATACCTCTGCTGGTGGACTGTTAGTCCCCGAGGGTATCACCAGCCCAGTAGCAAGTACTTCGGTACTGACATGAAAATACGGATATTGTGCTTTTAAACTTTGCTGTTACAACATTTTGGAAATTGTTTTAGATTAAAGAATATATCTCCCTTATGCAAAGCTCTGATTCTTTCTATGCCCGACTTTGGCTATACTTTTTAGTCCTTTTTGGTTTATAAGCTCTTCGTTTTTTTTTATAAAGCTTTGGATTATCAAATATTTTGCCTCGAGCATCACTGAAGAGACATTTAATGTCGAAATGTGCATCTGGTGCAGAAAAGAATGGTACCGTTAATTATATATAGCCAAAAAAGGCTATCATGCAACACTGATTTTTTATCAGGTTGATTATTTGAGGAGTTTCCATTACGAAAACATTAACTTTGCCTTCACTGTAATATGGAACCACTTTGTATCCACAACTTCTCCACCACTTATTACAATTATCGAAACTTGCTCTCTATCTTTTTTCCATATGCTACTATTGTGCAGCTCTTATCACGTTCTCTGATCAGAATCCTTTTCATGGTTTCTTTCAGCAAAACAAATGTATCCCCCCCTTCTTCTCCTAAGCCCCTTATCAGAATTTTATAAAATTGGTAATACTGCTCACCATGTAATGTTCGTGCTGATCTCTTTTCTCGTTTTTCCTCTACCTAGGTCATGCTACTGTTTGATTTTCTTGCAATCTTAATCTCTTTTTATGCTTGTCAATGACTAACAGTGTTTGGTTACGTGCACCGCCAGAGTTAAAATAATTTCTGCTCATCCATTTTAGCTCACTGAGGCCGGAAGGGCCCTATGTTAGCTTATGCCATCACTTGGCGTCCGTCGTCTGTCGTCGTCGTCCTCGTCGTCGTCGTCGTCGTCCGTTGTCGTCGTCGTCCGTCGTCGTCGTCATCGTCCGTCGTCGTCGTCGTCGTCATCCGTCGTCGTCGTTGTCGTCTTAAACTGCCCTCTGAAACTATTGGGCCAAATACCTTCAAACATTAACTGAATGTCCCTTAGGGTATCTAGTTTATAAATTTTATCTGAAGTTTTGATCCATCAACAAACATGGCCGCCATGGCTAAAAATAGAACAAGGGTCAAATGCAGTTTTTGGCTTATATCTCAAAAACTAAACCATTTAGAGGAAATCTTACATGGGGATAAAATGTTCAATATGTCAAAATCTATCAGCCCTACAATTCTCAGACGAACCGAACAACCCATTGTTGGGTTGCTGCCACTAAATTTGTAATTTGAAGGAAATTTTGCAGTTTTTGGTTATTATCTTGAATATTATTATAGATAGAGGTAAACTGTAAACAGCAATAATGTTCAGCAAAATAAGATCTACAAAAAAGTTTTATGACCAAAATTGTCAATTGACCCCTTAAGGAGTTTTTGCCCTCTAAAGACAATTTTACACAATTTGTTCATCATGCTTGCTAACATTTAAAAATCTTCTCCTCTGAAACTTCTAAGCCTAATACTTCTAAACTTTAACTGAATGTTTCTTTTAAGGTATCTTGTTTATAAATTGTATCCGAAGTTTTGATCCATCAACAAACATGGCCGCCATGGCTAAAAATAGAACATAGGAAACAAATGAAGTTTTTAGCTTATATCTCAAAAACTAAACCATTTAGAGCAAATCTGACAATAGGTAAACATTTTCAATGGGTCAATATCTATCAGCCCTGAAATATTCGGACGAACGGAACAACCCATTGTTGGGTTGCTGCCACTAAATTGGTAATTTTAAGGAAATTTTTCAGTTTTTGGTTATTATCTTGAATATTATTATAGATAGAGATAAACTGTAAACAGCAATAATGTTCAGCAAAATAATATCTACAGAAAAGTTAAAATGACCAAATTGTCAATTGACCCCTTAAGGAGTGTTTGCCCTCTAAAAACAATTTTACACAATCTGTTCATCATGCTTGCTAACATTTAAAAATCTTCTCCTCTGAAACTACTAGGCCTAATACTTCTAAACTTTAACTGAATGTTCCTTAAGGTATCTTGTTTATAAATTGTATCCGAAGTTTTGACCCATCAACAAACATTGCCGTCATGGATAAAAATAGAAAATAGGGGTCAAATGAAGTTTTTGGCTTATATCTCAAAAACTAAACCATTTAGAGCAAATCTGACAATGGGTAAACATTTTCAATAGGTCAATATCTATCAGCCCTGAAATATTCGGACGAACGGAACAACCCATTGTTGGGTTGCTGCCACTAAATTGGTAATTTTAAGGAAATTTTTCAGTTTTTGGTTATTATCTTGAATATTATTATAGATAGAGATAAACTGTAAACAGCAATAATGTTCAGCAAAATAATATCTACAAAAAAGTTAAAATGACCAAATTGTCAATTGACCCCTTAAGGAGTTATTGCCCTCTAAAACAATTTTACACAATCTGTTCATCATGCTTGCTAACATTTAAAAATCTTCTCCTCTGAAACTACTAGGCCTAATACTTCTAAACTTTAACTGAATGTTTCTTAAGGTATCTTGTTTATAAATTGTATCCGAAGTTTTGATCCATCAACACACATGGCCGTCATGGCTAAAAATAGAACATAGGGGTCAAATGAAGTTTTTGGCTAATATCTCAAAAACTAAACCACTTAGAGCAAATCTGACAATGGGTAAACATTTTCAATAGGTCAATATCTATCAGTCCTGAAATATTCGGACGAACGGAACAACCCATTGTTGGGTTGCTGCCACTAAATTGGTAATTTTAAGGAAATTTTGCAGTTTTTGGGTTATTATCTTGAATTTTATTGAAGATAACGATAAACTGTAAACAGCAATAATGTTTAGCAAAGTAAGATCTACAAAAAAGTGAATATGACCAAAATTGTCAATTGACCCCTTAAGAAGTAATTGCCCTTTAAAGACAATTTTACAAAATTTGTTCATCATGTTTGCAAAAATTTAAAAATCTTCTCCTCTGAAACTACTGAGCCTAATACTTCTAAACTTTAACTGAATGTTTCTTTTAAGGTATCTTGTTTATAAATTGTATCCGAAGTTTTGATCCATCAACAAACATGGCCGCCATGGCTAAAAAAATAGAACATAGGGGTCAAAAGCAGTTTTTGGCTTTTATCTCAAAAACCATAGTAGTTAGAGAAAAAGTGACATGGAGTTAAAGTAATGAATAAGTCAAAATATATCTGCTATGAAATTTTCAGACTAATTGGACCACCGATTGTAGGGTTACTGTCCGAAATAGTTTATTTTTATGAAATTTTATTGTTTTTGGTTATTATCTTTAATAGATTGTATTCGGGGATTTGATCCATTCAAAAACATGGCGGCAGTTTCTAAAAATAGAACATAGGGGTCAAATGAAGTTTTTGGCTTTCATCTCAAAAACTAAAGCAGTAAGAGCAAAACTGACATAGGTGTAAGTGCTAAACAGGTTTAGATCTACCTGTCAAGTAATCTTCAGACTAATAGGACAAATTATTGTTGGGTTACTGTCCAGAAATAGTTAATTTTTAGGAAAGTTTTGGGTTATGTATTATCTTTAATATTTTTATAGAAAGAGAGAAAGTGTAAATGACAAAATTGTTCAGCAAAGTAAAATCTGCAAATAAGTCAAATGCCTGAAACTAAAATTACAGTTGGGCGATTTCAGGCTCTCATGAGCCTCTTGCATCCGTAACTGCTGCCGAATCGCATGAGAGAACTTTGTGAAACTTCACAGAATCTTACGCGCATGCTGTTGATTTGAACCTCTAATATCATATCTTAAACTGAATGATTTTGTGGGTTAAATGTGTGATGAAATAGACATGGACTAAGTTATATCTGCATATTAAACATGTATATCCGCTTCTTCTCATAAATCCCAAACACAATTTGATGAATCTTCACTATATAAGAACATTGTTGCACCTCCTATTTTGACTTGTTTTTTGTGGTTTCTCTGACCTAAACATGGAATATCATTATGTGAGCTTTGTTGACAATACCGCTTTATTATGTTTTTTTCTAGATTATGTTATAGTTTGCATAGTATTTTTTTGTTAAGATATGAATTTAGCGTTAAAAACGTCCCCTTTAATAAGCGTATGATTTATATTTGATAAAATTATGTTGTTATATTGCAGCAACATTTCTGAATTGATTGAACTATCTTTTTCACTTATGTGTAGTTTAGCTATTCAACTGGAATTCTATATTTATTCAAAAACAATTGATGAATTCTAAAGAATATTCATTGTATCCATAGGTTTGTGAGAATCTAGCAAATGGATGGACCAGGGTATGGAACGACGAACAGAAAGTACCATATGCATATAAAGGTGACCAGTGGGTTGGTTATGACGACCTTGAGAGTATTCAGATAAAGGTAAATATAATCTTCTTGTATACAATTGCAATTGAATCTAAATGACAACTTTAAGGATTATAAAGACCAGATTAAAAACTAGTTAAAGATGACCACCATGATATGCTTTAATTATGTAAGATAGATCATTCCTCCGTAAGGTTGATAAATGATATACATTAGGGTAGGCAAATCTTCATCAATCTTAACTGTTAATAAAATTGAGAATGGAAATGGGGAATGTGTCAAAGAGACAACAACTCAACCTAAGAGCAGAAAACAGCCGAAGGCCACCTATAGTACTGATATGTACCAGTAAATACTGATATGTACACATTAACATGATGAATATTGAAACAAGCGAAGTGGAACCTCGCTCAAAATGATTAAATTCGAGAACTATCGATGAGTCCTATGGTGACAAAACGCACGTCTCAATTACAAAATTATTAGCATAGTATCCTGATGAGTTTGTATAAACAGGCGATCACATTAAGACTTTATGGAACCTGTTTTCGACCAATTGACCGGATTTGACTTCAATGCGAGGAAATAGATAAAATAAGAATAAAATATATGTAGATGCTGGTTTCGTGGCGCATGAAACAAATTTCTTGAATATCCTTGAACAGGTATGCTCACTATAAAAATGATGGATGTCTGTTTAACGTGCAGCGGCAAGCAAAATACATACCATTAATGAGAAGATGTGAAAGTGATATGAATTTTAACCCTGCTTTGTACTAGATCAAAACACTGAGCTGGATCTTTAAACATACTAGTTCACAATGTAACAGTCAACAAGAAGGCATGTCACCTTACCCGGACACATTATTGTAGCTCCGAGCAGACCAGTCTTCGCTCTTACTCCTAAACGCCGCGTGCTTGATTGAGAAGTATTGCATTTCAATTTTATATTGATTAAGGTACGTCGTGCTTACTTGAGCGAAGTTGCTCATAACATGATTGAAATGAACTGTGCCTTATCTTTAACTAGGGTCAGGTAAATTAACTCTGCAGTTCCTGGTAAAACACAAAATTGATATAAATAAAATTGTGGTTTAATAGCATCGACCGGCACCTATTTTAATATATATTTTTTTTATCTGAGAGATATAACATTACAAAGAAACATATTGCACATGCATATGCCGTAGGTACAACAGGGGGTATGCTTCTTGTGTGAGTCATAAAAGTGTCCTGTGAAAAATAGACACTTTAAGAAGAGGTATATTTAGATATGTCCGGCCGATGATGTGAAAAAATGTCCATTCAAACGGACACAATTTCATGATAAAATACTACTAAATTCTGTCCTGTTAAGGTTGATTTTCAATAAGCGGATACTTTTTCATTATAAAAAGTGTCCATTAAAGGGAGATAATAAAAAAAATCACTGAAATGTTTTAGCTATATTTAATTTTCTATTACTAAAACACACAAATTAAGAACCAGTTATGATTTGATATAAACAAAAATGGAAGGTGTTGAATTTCAAATCTTTTTCAATTACCTTAGCTATAAAAGATGTCGACAAAAAGTATTCACCTGCCCCTGTTAAAAACAAGAAAGGCCAAATGTAGGAAGAACAGTCTTTATGAGTACTATTCTTGAATATTACATGATTTTGTAAATTGAAATGAATTACATATATTATTATTCAAATAGTTCATATTAAGTTCTATTTGATGTATTGCTGCTTTTGTGTGTATTAGATCATGTTTTATTGTTTAATTTATGTTTAATCACAAATGGTGATGATCACATTTTGTATGAATTCAATACTCCAGTTTACATGCCATGTTTTAATAGAGAAAAAAAATGCTAATTTAAAAACTTCAGTTTAGATATAGAACTGATGCCATGTATGCATTTTGTAGGTATTGAGAGTGGGCATTTTTTTCACGTGAGATATTGTCTTTTCTTAGAAGTACACTTTTGCATATGAAATATTGTCCTTTCTTTGAAGGACAATTTTTCACATCTGTGGACACGATTTCATAAATACATATCGTCCGGACGATATTTTATAAAAACATTATGTCCGTGGACACAATTTACTGTGAATTTGACCCTACAATTGTAATTCCAGTCCCATCTGCATTGATTGGATTTAAGTGAATCTGTGGCATTGTGTGACAGTTTTTCAAATTTTTCATCTCAAAGATATTAAAGTTCCTCATGGTAAAACTTTGATTTGAAAAGCAGAGGAAGGGGTAATTATGTGAGCTTTTATAGTGTTTTTGTTTATCTTTTCTGTTTTGATATAGGCAGAGTATATTCGACAAAATAGCCTTGGTGGATCAATGATATGGGCTATTGATTTGGATGATTTTACCAATTCATGTGGTCTTGGAATTAATCCATTAATGTCTAAACTTAAAGAAATGCTACCAGATAGTACCGTGCAACCAACTAAGGCCACATCCACTGTTGAACCGACTAAAGAACCAACTTCCTCTAAACCAACACTGACACCAACTACTGTACAAGCAACTGACAAGCCAACTCAAGCATCAACCACTACCCAGCCAACTAGAGCACCAACCACTGTTCAGCCAACCAAAGCACCAACCACTGCCAAGCCAACTCAAGCACCAACAACTGTCCAGCCAACTCAGGCGCCTACCACTGCCCAGCCAACTCAAGCACCAACAACTGCCAAGCCAACACAGGCGCCTTCCACTGCTCATCCAACTCAAGCACCAACAACTAAAAGTCCAGGAGGTTGTGGAGGTAAATAATATTTAAAACAATTAGGATAAAAAGATTGCCGTTTCTGATTCCTCGTTTTGTATTGATTCTCATAACAGATACTGTTGGTTTTATTTGTTCAATATCTTCTTTATAGTTATTATACGTTTCTTTCTATAATCATAATAACAATAACAAATATTTGAGGCATTGATTGAGTATTTAATTGTGTGAACTGCCACTCTCATTAAAATAAAATAATAGTTATATATATTGTTTCATAACGTTATTCCATTGTCTATGGTAATCAATATCGGGAAGATAAAAAAATGTAAACAGTTCTTTATAAAATTCTTGCGTCCGAATAACATTAACTGTACCAATTTTTCTGCACCAGATGCACATTTCGACAATCAATGTCTCTTCAGTGATACTCGAGACTAATATGTTTGAAAATCCAAAGCTTATAAAAAGGATGAAGAGCTTTAAACCAATATAAAATAATAGCCAAATTCATTTAAGTTCGACTATGCCTGAGTGAGTTGAACCTTAGTTGCTTAAAAATTTAGAAATGTATAAAGGAACAATTTCAGAGAGGTTTGATATAAATCATGTCATCACCGAAGTACTGAGTACTGAGATGATGATGTCCTTTAAGACTGATAGTCCACCCGCAGCGGTGGCTACCCAGTGCGGCAAAAAATGGAAACTTTCTCATGTGAGCATATTAACTTGTAGCTCCAGTTAACTGTGAAGATGGAAATTATTACGTGGATGCATGCGATCCTACAGTATATTATCAATGTGGTCATGGGATTGCTTACAAATACAAATGTGGTGCCGGTACTGTATGGGACTCTAGCAAAAACATTTGCAACTGGGACTATATTGTAAACCCAACAACCCAAGATTCGTGTGGTAAGTAAATTAGAAATTTTTATGACTAGTTAACTGTAATTTCAAGCTAAGGTCAGTGTGTTCATGTAACAAATAAGTAACTAAAATATTTAAATGAAAAGTGCCTAATTGCATATGGTTCTTGCCAGTGTTTGAGTCTACAAAAGATATGATAAGGTGGAATCAAGGCATGTAGACCTTTCGTTGTATGTCTGACAAAACAGTTTTTTTGTGTTGTTGGAACCCTAAAAACTATGATCAAAGAATAACTTATGGTACTAGTATACAAAACAATTGTTCTTGACTTATATCTGATAGTTTACTTGAATTAATTCACGTGTTCGGTTGGACATACCAACCAATATATGCAATATAGTAGAATAACACTTGATTTTGGTCTAATTTCTTATGAGAACTGGCAAGATATACTTACTGCTGTCAGTTGCATGAAATAAAAGGTGAAAAATTTCATTATATACTGACAAAGTTTTAGAGTTCGACATAATAACTCACCAAAAGGATAAAAGAAATAGACAAAAATACTGCAAAATACAACAGACCACACTAACCTCCAACAATTGACTCGTCCAAAAAAAAACCAGACGTACAGACAAAGACAAACAACACACGGTCCGTATAACCTGCCTTGGTACAGATACACAATATGGTGTGGTTATACCACTTTCATACATGCACACAAACCTACCTTTTGTCTATCTAGACCATATGCCGTAAAATTGAAACACACAATAAAAAAATACACAGTGCATTTACCAACAGAATGACCACTAGAACCAACTAGAACATAGAAATAAAAAAAGGCACTTTATCTGGAAGCAAAATCAAAATGTCAAATTAGTCCTTTCCTTGGTTTTATGTGGATCTACTATTTAAAGATGCTAACCCACTAATTGTTGCTTTAAAATAACAAATGCCTCACAATCAAGGCTCGTCAGTTTTCATCGGCCATGCATGCAAAAAATGTAAAACCAAGCTATAGTTTAGTACTCGCTCAGAAACAAGTAAATAGACGTCAATTTATCTCGCATGAACTCTATTATTTATAACGTCACAGAAAACAAATCGCAACGAGTACCCAAGTTGCACCTATTGAACAAAAATGGCAGCGGAAATCTTCCAAGTTTTCGTTGAGACTAAACAATTTGTATTTTCATGATTTAACATTATACACGTCTTCCAACATTGGTAAATATATTCAAATATACACAAAACGTTCACAGTTTATTTCAACAGATGAAGCATTAACTGGAAAGGGTAAATCTACTGAAACATCGCCAAAAATAGGCAAATTAAATATGATACAAGCATCCATTTCTTCAGAAATGAATAGTAATGATAGTATTAGGGACTGATGTCAAATTGTTCTAAACATTTGAAGAAATAAACCAAACCTCAGTTATTCGATTTTCAAGGATGTGAATTTAAGCATGGATGCAATTTGGGTACTCTTCATTACAGAATCCTGGATCCTTTGGAGGTCGGTTCAAAACCATTTATCTATGATTCAATATAGATTCAAAATTAAATTGGTGTTATTATAAAGAAAATAAGGATCCATCTACAAAATAAACACAGAAAGGAAAATTTTGCCTGAATCTTAAAAAAACGCAAATTAAAAAACCGTCAAAATAGGTGCAATTTGGCTACCCTCACGTTAAATGTATTATTAAAAAAAAACGAAATTATAAAAAAAACAGGCTTACATTTTTTTTCGCAAAACGTGAGCTTCGTTATCGGTTAGAAACACAAAGCAGACCGTTTTATTAAATTAGATATATTGTAAAGAAAAATGTTCCAATTATCAAATAAATTAGTACATGCTTAATATCACATTAATAACGTAATTACATTAATATCATTAATAAACAGTTGATGTGGTCAGGTATGATTATGCCTGTATTGACGTCAAGCTTTTTATTTACAAACTTAAATCGTCCAATTCGTAGTGGTAGGTAGACAAGTCATGTACAGTTAAAATATAAATTTAAGCTGGTGTATAACCTACAGATATGCACAATTAACCATAATCATACTGATACTGAAAAAAAATAAACTCTGTTGTTGTTATTATCCTTGAAGTAAGAGGCAATTCTGTAATTTTGAGTAATCTCATTTGACACTGCCTTGACATTGTAGCTCCAACAGATTGTATTGAAGGTAATATGTATGGAGATAGCTGTGATGATCAGAGTTATTACATATGTTTTGGAGGAAAACCATCCAAACATACTTGTGCTGACGGCACTCTGTGGGATAGCAGTATCGATAAATGTAACTGGGAAGACGACGTCGGTGATCAACGATGTGGTAATTTAGCATTACATATCTTTTCCGTAGCGTATAGTGCAGGCGTTTTATATACATTGTTCCTGTTCTCGCACAACCTGATTAAAATACAGATCCTTTGGCAGCTCTTTGCTTACAAGGATCTGACAAGGCTCTGCTGTACTTTCTGTTTGAAAGACCTTGTAAATTATGTAATGATACAAACCTGTAGAATATGTATGCAGGAATTTCATTGGTTGGTGTAATAGTACCCATATCAAAAAACTAGAACGAAATGTTTACTTATCTTTGTAAGCAAATCGTGGACAGAGGATCTATATTTTAATCAGATTTGTTCTCGTAGTTAGTTATTTCCTTCTATGTAAAATTTTACTTAATTTTTTACATAACTTTTTTTTGAGTAGGTCAAATTCCTCATGTAAATATTTAACGTATATTATGATAGTAGTCTTTAAACAAACAATATTAGAAGAGCTGATGACTTCATACTGGTTTTCTATACTGCGCGAATAATAGACTTTAAAAAAACTCAGTGGTTGTCGTTTGTTGCTGTATATCGTATTTGTTTTTCGGGGTCTTTATATGTAGCTTACTATATGCGGTATGGGTTTTACTCGTTGTTAAAGTCCATACGGTTACCTATAGTTGTTAACTTCTTTCTTTCTGGTAAAGAGTTGTCTCACTGGCAACCATAACACATACTCTTATTTTCATGTATAATAAAATCGATGGGTTCAGGCTTTAGTTTAGTTTTAGATTTTAGCACATTTTATTTTCTTTTTCAGCACCTGTGAACTGTGAGAGTGGTAAATTTTATGGTGATAATTGTGATGACAAAGTTTACTATTCATGTTGGAATGGAGTAGCATATAGATATACATGTGCTCATGGAACTGAATGGGACGCTTCCATTAACAACTGTAACTGGGTCAAGAGATGAAAGTAATATGATGTTTCTATCAACAACTAAAATTGTCATATGAGAGTACAAATTTCATCTGATTATTAGTTATCCAAAGAGTACTGAAAAACGTAATTACCCAGTGAGCTCTGTAGGGACATTAACATAAACTGAACCCCCTTTCTTCTATTTTATTGCCGAGAGTTCACTGATCGTAACAGGAAAGGGAAAATCAGCTGATTCTGAAAAAATAGGAAAATTCTGTAACAATGGTTGTTTGCCTTTTTCAAATGACCAATGTGTTAGTTCTAATATAGTTGGATGAAAAAGGAGTACTGTAGGTTCAAAAAAGTCAATATATTCCCTTTTTTATATGATAAGTGATTTCCTATGTAAATGCAACGACAAAATACAAGTAAAACTTTGGCTCATTGTATCGTATACATGATGTAAATGTACTGTTACGTCATTATTGTGTCACTTTGATAATGATAAACCATCTATTAAGTCAAAGTACAAATTTTGGCGGAGTAAAAAAGTGACAACATGCCTGTACAAATCAACACATTTTTTTAAGGATATGTGTTTCACCCAGAATGGTCATAAGCACTTGGATAAACTTTACATTGATCCAAAACTAGTTTTAAAACGTAATGTTGCCATTTTAGCGGTCTTTTTAACATTGCCATATAAGCGTTAGGTTTGGCTAGCAATAAAACCAGGTTCAACCCACCACTTTTTCTTAAAATGTTCAGTACCAAGTCAGGAATATAGCAGTTGTTATCAAATAGTCCGTTTATATGTATGTTGGCGTTTGTTTTTTTTTGTAGCAGTACAGGGTTTCTGAAAGTACGGTCTTCACGGAGCCTTGGCTCAAACCGAACAGCAAGCTATGAAGGGCCCCAAAATTACTAGTGTAAAACAATTCAAACAGGAAAACCAAAGGTCTAATCTATATAAAAAACGAGAAACGAGAAACACTTATGAACCACATCAACAAACGACAACACTGAACAACGGGTTCCTGACATTACATGAGCAAGACGATATGTGCCACATGTGTAGCAGGATCTGTCTACTCCGTTTTTTGTTGCTCAATCTTTAGTTTCTATGTTGTGTTTTGTAGACTATCGTTTATTTTTTCGTCGTTCATTTCGGTTTTTGTTTGCCATGTCGTTGATTTGACTAATGAGTTTTGAATATCTCTTTGGTATCTTCCGCCTCTTTTTATCAGAGTAACTGCCTTTTGAAAACTGAAAGGAAAGTGCTTTATCACATCTTATCATCATCCATTTGGTGTAGGATGGCGAACAAATTATAGGCGGTAGTAACATATTTTTACATCATGACTTTATATGATCTTGATTCATACCTATATTTACATCCAATGAATGTAGAAAGTTGATAATTTTTTTTTGCAATAATCGAACGGCCAAGACGTTCATCTGTCTGTCGTTGCCAAATATAGAATCTGATAATCGTAACATCTCTCAAGGTTTTCTCCTATGACAACCTACTGCACACTATGAAATCGTCGCTTCTCATCCCGATTCGTTCGTTTTTACAGAATCTATTTATTAATTGAATAATCTTTCTGAATAGATCTGAAATATTGCCACTGAACGCGAAACAAAACAACAACCAATCATCTAAATTAAAACATGCAAATCAAATTTTGATATAAATGATTCGATGGGAAAACAGAATTTTATACAATGTTTTTGTGTAGTAGAAATTTTTTTAATATTATTCTGATACAATATTTCACAAAATAATTATTACTGTTTTCCAAAAATCGTACCTTAAAAAACTGATCAGCTCAATATACTTATTTGTATAGACTGTACTAACACAAAATCATTTTTTTCAGGTTTAGGTAAAAAGAAAACACAGCAGTTCATATAACCAAGGAGGTTTCTCTGGAATATTTACTACTGTATAAAATCATATTATTACATGAAAATAAAATACTTTAGACATTCTATCAAAGTGTTTATCAAGCAATCATAAAGGATACTCTTACTAAGCAGACAGCTAATTTGTTCAACTGAATCAACAATTTCTTTTTCCGGTATAACAAAAATACGAAAAAGTTATCATATTTACTTCTTGCAAAAGGCCCCAATGGATTGGAAAATCAATTAACAAAAATTAAGTAACAGAAATCATATGTTCACAAAATGTTCACCACATATATAAATAAGATTTTCCTACTGCCCTTCAAAATGTCCTTCATCCTAGAATTAAATGCAAAAATGATCACATTTGTGTTACTAAAGCAATTCCTTTTCAGAGCATGCGTTATTGAAATAAGCACAAGTTGTGAAAGGCTAAAATCATGTTACTATTTTTGCTATTTTATCTGTCAAAAAAATAGAATCGTTAACTAAAACTGAGAATGGAAATGGGGAATATGTCAAATAGACAACAACCCGACCAAAGAACAGAAAACAGTCGAAGGCCACCAATGGGTCTTCAGCACAGCGAGAAAATCCCGCACCCGGAGGCGGGCTTCAGTTGGCCCCTAAACAAAAGTGTGTACTAGTTCAGTGAAAACTGACGTCACATTTAACTCCAAAACATATAAATGAACTAAATTAAAAAACATACAAGACTAACAAAGGCCAGAGGCTACTGACTTTGGACAGACGCAAAAATGCGGCGGGGTTTAACATGTATTTTGATATCTCAACGCTCTCCCTATACATCTTTTACTTATGTAGAATAAACAATCACCCAACAATACGCACAGTAAAACTCAGTTTAAAAGAAGTCCGAGTCCGATGTGAGAATAGGTCACGAAAGAAACTAAGCAAAATGACAATGATACATAAATTAACAAAGGATTATACGATAATAATTATGTATTACAGTGATGGTTATCAGGTAAAATCAATTGTATTGGTTATTTTTAAATAATATATGTATGTAAAACTATTGTAAGTTTGAACTCATTTGATTTTTCCCTTGTCAAGTGAGGCTGTTAAAATACAGGGGTCTCTAAGTATGCGACCTTGGCTACTTATGTATTTATATATCAGGAAATGATTGAAAACAAATATTTGTTATCGTTAAAAAAAATCCAACAAAAAACAAAGGATTACTAGCAGTTACTGACATGCCAGCTCCATACCTCAATTAAAGTGATTGAAAGATAATGTCTTAATCATATAAAAATCAAGCACAATCCCTCCCGTTAGAGGTTAAGTATCATACCATCATGAAATATATGAGAAGAACATAACCCGTATCATGCCAACAACTGGTTTTAGAATAAATGCGTGTATTTCCGATGCAAAGACCCTATAAAATATGCCATCTTTAATGACCTATATCCTTTCTGAATCAGTCCGTTTAAAGGTATGGTTACCTTTTGAGGTGAATGCCGACATATTTGTGCTTTGTGCAGAATATTACCATAAAAGATTGGATGTGAAATACCTGAACGTATAAGATGTCTGCATGTTGATTTATATTTACGAATGATGTCCTTGTACCGATGATAAAATTTAGTCAATGTTTTTATAAGTTTGTGATATCGAAAACCCCGGTGAAATAATTTTTCAGAAAAACAGAGATTTCTTTCTTTAAAATCAAATACGTTGTTACATACACTAGCGAATTGAGATATATAAACACCATAAGATGATGACAATTGAACGCCACCATCTAAAAATGGGTAGTTACCTATAGGAAATGAAAAATCATCTCTTTTATCATAAATTGTGGTATTAAGCTTCCCGTCAAAGATATAGATATCAAGATCCAGAAAATGGCAGTGTTCATTGTTAGTATTGTTAGAATTAGCTTTATTTAAAGTCAGTTCAGCAGGATAAATCTCTGTAGTGTACATACTGAAGTCGTCATTATATCATCCAAATATCTAAAGAGTAAAATAACAAAAATTCAAAACGGAAAGTCACTAATCAATCGGAAAAATCAAAAGCTCAAACACATCAAACAAATGGATAACAACTGTCATATTCCTGACTTAGTACGGGCATTTTCGTATGTAGACCTGGTTTTATGGCTAGCTAAACCTCTCACTTGTATGACAGTCGCATAAAATTCCATTATATAGATGTTCCGGACCATATGAGTATTTGGACCATACGCGTATGATCATGACCATGTGTATATACTCATATGGTCCGACCATAAGCGTATGGTCCGGGTAATTATCTGATGATGTTTAACGTAGAAAGGTAGAAAGGTGCCGCATAATTAAAAGTTCCTTAAAATGAAATTTTGACGGATGCAATCATATGGTAATCATTGTTACATGATTAATCAAACAAAGTGAATTTTACTTAAAAGTAAGAATAATTGTGTATATTAAATTTAAATTTCTTGAATATTTCAAATTGTTTTTAGATAACCGAAAAAAACAGTACATCGGTATTCTGTGGTTTCACTTACGGACGAAAAAGTCGACAGCCAGGAGAAAGGCGCTTTAAATTGACGCTAGCGAAGATAAAATAACAAATACACCAAAATTCAATATATGTGAAAGATAAAAAAAATCAATTAGTAACTTGTGCCGTTTTTGGTTCGGAGATTGACCTCTGTGTTACTGCGAAGGCTAGAATTTTATTCGAAAAATACCTATATGGTCTAAAAACTCATATGGTCCGGTCCGTTAATAACCAAACGAGTATAATACTTATATGGTCCGACCATACGAGTATGGTCGGACCTTATGAGTATACGCATTTGGTCATGATCATACGCGTATGATCCAAATACTCATATGGTCCGGAACATAGACAACGATGTGTGAACAAAACAAACAGACTTATTAGGTACAAATGTCAAAAATAGGGATACAGCAGTCAACATTGTGTTATAATCTTAATCACTATAAACAAACAAAAATGTCAACAAAGAAACACAAAAAGGCATATAGACAAAGCACATTAGCAAAAAAGAAAGACAAGAATACAAAAATTTATCATGGCACAATAACACCATGACGGAGTACCGAGCCATGTGAAATGGATATTACTAAGAATAGACTAAACAGTAAAAGTAATATTCACAAAGACAAATAAAAGAATACTATAACACGTTTTTAAGATAATAAGCATTGTCAGTACCTAAAATCTATATTTCAAGACCATCTTGCATTATTTGTGAAGTTGATACGGAATATTTATCAACAAGGTCCGGGTATCTTACAATTATTTTTTTAGAAAAAGAATATGACGTTCTTTGAAATACTCCTAGTTCATCAACTTTCTGCTCAGACACTGGTGACGTTTTACAAAATCTGAGTAGCAGCTGCAAGCTCTTGAATACCGAATAAGTTGGGAAATGTATATCCCATATGCCGGTGAATTTGGTATATTGCTACTAAGGTGGTGTATAAAAGTGTTATTATTTTTTTGTATCAGATGTTGTTTTGATGGGTCTTTGCTGATTTTAGTCATAAAATGTAACTCATAACAATACAGAAACTGGTCTGCAATAAGTGGTGCACAGTTAGTCCCCATTGGAATTCCGATAACTTGACGATATACAGAAACTCCATAGCGAACAAAAAAAAGGATCTAGTAAAAATTCAAGGGCAGTTATCGTATCAAAGCAGGTCCAATTGACATAGTTTCTTTGTTTGTTGTTACTTAAAAATGAACTAAAAGAGTTAAACATATATATTCGCATTCTGACTTTTTAAATGCCCATTTAATCAGGTGTGTGATTTTTTCTTCAAGGGAAAATTCGCGATTTTTTACTTATCATCTTATTATGTTCATAATACCATAAAAAACATATTCACCAAGTTTTATCTGGATATGAACACTAATAAAGAAGAAAATTATTAATTATTAATTATATTTATTCGAACTTCCTGACTTCTGTGACGTAGTTTAAAACAAACCACAATCAATAAATGTATTATTACTCTTTATATAAGTGTAAATTAAATATACTTCTTCTGCTAGTGCTGTGGGGGTATATGTTGAATAATAGAACAATGAGTAATTGATAAAGTAAATCTTGGTACACAAGAAAAAAGATAAAGCAAATTAACACTAGTGATATAAAGGTTCCTCTATCAAAATATATGTAATTAAAATAAGTAATAATTGTTTGTATTTATACAAATTATAAATTACATTTACACCATGATTACATTGAAAAAATAAGAATACTCTACATTTATCATGATAATCATGATCACCATAAACGTAGTCAAATTTCAAAATGACTACCCTCTCCCTTTTTATCCTCGTAATGATTGCTGAAATCTATCGTTTTGCAATAATTATAAAATCATTAATATTAATTGTATGATTAGCTTCTAGTAGTGGTGTCCAAACAATAACATTTTAAGAAAGAAAAAATAACCTTACAGTCATATTTTTTTAAGGAATATAAGTTAATTTCCTGCTATAAGTTCAAATAATTTCATTTCACTTTTGTTTAACTTTGCAAGATTAATACATTATTGTTTTCCAAATTAATTTATGTATTCGATCTTATTGTGAACTATCGAAGAGACAAAACTTTCAACAGTGTATTCAAAATTTTACAAACCATTTAAATTATACTTTTCTGCGATCTTACATAAATAATTTCTAGCTGTTATTTTACCTAATTTAATTAATAAAGTAAGATTGCATTTATTTTCAATTTAAAGTCGGTTAATGTACAAAGGGAAGCAACTTTAGTTGTTCTACATAGGGGCAAAATTGGCAGGTTAATGGTGCAAAATCAGCAGGTGCCGTATCAGCAGATGAGTGATCTAGACCCGTCTCATAATCCCGGGAGAAAAAAAAATCCCACAGTTTTATTTGTTGACACTATATTTACATAAATTGCACATAAACACATGAGAATAAATATGCATACATCTGGTTTTGTATAAAATGAATCCTCCTCATTTTCTTTTTTGGAAAGAGCAACTACTTTTTCCCAGCAAATGTTGGTGATCAAAAATGTATATATCAATTCATTGACAATAATCAGTGCAATTTTGTACGTTTTGC